CCTTTTAATTGTTTTTGTTTGTTTGTTTGTTTCTTGAGGTGTTAGAATTCTACAGATTTAGTAATCAATCCCTTGTCTATTGTGCTATTGCTAAAGATCTTTTCTGCCAACATGTAGGCTCTCAACTTACTATTCTGATGAGGTCTTTTGATGTGCCTGTTTTATTTTTAATAGGTCCCGGACATATAGTTTGTCTTTCACTGGGTGTGCTTCATTTGCTAGATTTAGCAGTCTATATGCCTTGCACTAGAGCCTTTTAGTTGTCACTTTTCTCATTTAGCTGTCTCATTTCTCATGTAAGTCTGACGTGTACCTTTAGGTCTCTAATCTAGCCTGTGTTTGTTGAGTGCACGGGGCAAGGGGTATGCATTTTGTTTCATTATTCTGAAGATCGAGATCCCATTTTTCCAGCACCATTTTTTCAAGAGGGTGCCCCCTTTTCTCATTTAATGATTTTTAGTCCTCTGGCAAAAATCAGTTGGTTGTACATGTATGCTTTTATTTCTGAGTTTTCTATACTGCTCCATTGATCTATGTATCTGTCATTATACCAGTATCAGGATGTTTTCACTCCTGTGGTTGTGTGGTAGTTTTTGAGGTTGGGTAGTATGATGAAGCCTCCCACTTTGTTCTTTTTGTGAAGTTCTTTGCATATCCTGGGCCACTTCCCTCTCCATATGAAGCTGGAGCATTTTTTTCCATTTAATGGGTGCTTCCATTTCTTTAAAAAATAAAGTAGGGATTTGGATTAGAATTGCTTTAAATCTATAGACTGTTTTAGGTCGTGTTGACATTTTCACAACATCAAGTCTTCTTCTCCATGAACACTGGATATTATTCTTGCTTTTGTGTAGGTCTTTTTTGTTTTCTTGTAGTAATGTTCTGCAATTTTCTTCACATAGGCTTTTGTTTATTTTACCATGGGTCTTCCCAAAGATCATGGAAAAATTCCATTGTATTTCAATTCTATAGTATTACAAACTTGAAGATCTCTTGTAGATGAATGCTTGGTTTCAATATTCCTACTAATTAAACGGTAGTTAGTCACAACAGATGACAAATTTTAACCCATATTTGCATTCCTATCCTTTGTTAATTCGTTGTTTAATATTCCATTTCTGAATTATTTTGAAAAGCCAAACTAGCTGTTGACTGTAAATTGAACATCATGGTAATCCGATTAAATGTGTCATAGTATGCTATAGAGTTGTACCTCATAGGGTCTTTCAATGGCTACCTTTACAGAAGTCGTTCATCAGGCCTTGCTTTCGATGAATGAACTGAAAAAATCCCCAAACTTTCCATTGGCAGACATACCTGTTAACCATTTGCACAACCTAATGACTCCACACATTCCAAAAATTATTTTATATGTAAATATTTTTAAACTAAAATGTTAACACTTCCTCTTTAATAAGGAAAAACACTGTCTTACTGTCTTACATATATTGTAATAGGTTATTTAATTTTAAAAAAATCAATACAGACTGAAAGAAGTTAGAACAAAACAGATACATATGGTCGAACAATAAGAAATGAATTCAGGATACCTGTACAGGACAAATGTAATATGACAACACATAGTTCCTTCTATAGAATAGAAATAATTTTAAAACTTCAGGTAATATAAAGAAGAAAAAAGCTTTGACTGCTTTAGTTAGAACTATTTTTTGTGGTTCTATACAATGGTAGTATACCAATTGTTATCTTCCTAATAATATTTACATAATGTAAAACATTAAATTTATTTTATCTGTAATCACATTTACTATGGTATAAGCCTGCCTGCCTATTCGTAGAGTCTATCAGTTTGTCCTACTATAGTGGCTTGTGTTGCTTTAAGGCTGGAAGCTGGTATTTCAAATACCAGCAGGGTCACCCAAAGACAATGGGCTTCAGCAGAACTTTTAGACTAAGAAGAGATTACAAAGAAAGAATAGGCTGTTTATTCATAGGAACTTGCTCTTCATAAGAATTAGCACTGGCGGGAGGGGGGAGCGGGGAGGGAGGGGAAAAATGAGGACCTAATGTCGGGGGTTTAAATGGAGAGAAAATGTTTTGAGAAACGATGTACAAATGCGCTTTACACAATTGATGTGTGTATGGATTGGGATAACAGTTGTATGAGCCCCTAATAGAATGTTAAAAAAGAAACAAAAAACAAAAAAAACAAATAGATTCAAACTTGAAAAAAAAAAAAAAAGAATTAGCACTGAAAACCTTATGGATAGAATAAAAAAACTAGCAAACACTGAAGGTCTACTGAATAGAAGCAGAACACTGTCAGAGATGGTGCCAGAAGATGAACCTCTCAGGTCAGAAGACACTCTAACAGGACTAGGAAAAGCGGCCTTTCAAAGTAGAGATGACCATACTGAAAGGCATAAAGCCTGAGGCAGTAAAACCATTGGGGCCTCCTGGTGCTGATGGGACACACCCAAACTGAACAAAACTACCTGCCACAAGTCTACTACTAATCAGAACTTGGGTTGTATGGAGTATGGAACTAGGAAAACTGGAGTCATCAAAAATAAAATTAAGCACATAAAGATTGATGTCCTAGGTATTAGTAAGCTGAAGTGAATGGACATTGGCCATTTTAACTCAGAAAATTATATGGTCTATCATTCCAGGAATGGCAAAATCAAGAGGAATGGCATTACTCTCATCACCAAAGAGGGCATTTCAAGCTCTATCTTGAAATGTGATCGGATATCTAGCCTCATACAAGGAAATCCAATCAAATTATTCAAATTTATATAGGAACCACAAAAGCTAATGATGAAGAATTTAAATAATTATGTCATTTTCATTCTGAAATTGATCAAACATCCCATCAAAATGCATTGATAATTACTGGCTATTGGGATGCAAATGTGGAAAATGAAGATGGAACAATAGTTGGAAAATATGGTGTTGGAAATAGAAATGAAGCTGGATATCTCATGATAGAATTTTTCAAGACCAATGGCTTCTTTATCGAAAATACCTTTTTTCAACAACACAAAAGTCAACTAGCCACATGGACATTTCCAAATGGAATACACAGAAATCAAATCGACTACATCCGTGGCACGAGACAATGGAAAAGCTCAATGTCAGCAACTAAAGGAAGGCCAGGGGCTACCTGTGGAACAGATCACCAATTGCTCATAGGTAAGTTCAGGTTGAAGCTAAAGAAAATTAAAATAAGTCCATGAGAGCCAAAATACAACCGTTAAGTATATGCTGCCTGAATTTCAAGAACATCTCAAGAACAGATGATGCACTGAACACTCATGAAAGAAGACCTGATTGGTTAGCTGTGGAATGATGTTAAGAACATTATTCATGAAAAAAGCAAAAGGTCATTTAAAAGAGGAAGAAAAGGTCAAAGTGGATGTCAGAAGAGACTCTAGAACTTGCTCTTAATTGTAGAGTAGATAAAGCAAATGGAAGAAATGATGAAGTCTAAGAGCTGAACAGAAAACACCAAAGGGCAGCTCAAGAAGACAAAATATTGTAATAAATGTACAAAGAGTTAGTGGTAGAAAAGCAAAAATGAAGAACATGCTCAACATAACTTACACTGAAAGATCTAAAGAAAAAATTCAAGCCTCAAATTGCATTACACAATTTATGAACAAAATATTGAATCATGCAGGAAATACCAAAAGAAGGTATAACAAACATAACTAGTCGACATTCAACTTTTTCAGGAGGTCTCATAGAGCAAGGACCAAGAGGACTGAAGGAAAAAGTTCACTGCATTGATAGCATTAACCAAAAACAAGGCTCTAGCAACTGAAATGTTTCAACAAGCTGATGCAGCACTGGAAGCATTCCTTCATTGATGCCAAGAAATTTGGAAGACAGCTACCTGGTCAACTATTTGTACCCATTTCAAAAGAAAATAAGGTAATCCAACAGAATACAAAAATTACAGAATATCATTAATATCACATGGAAGTAAAATTTTGCCAAAGATCACGCAACAATGGTTACAGCAGTATACACACAGGGAACTATGAGGGGTACAGGCATAATTCAGAAGAGGATAAGGAAGGATATCATTGCTGATACAGATGAATCTACCCTGAAAGCAAAGAATACAAGAAAGATGTGTCCTTGTATTTTATTGGTTATGACAAGGCATTTGACTGTGTGGATCATAACAAACTATGGATGGCCTTGAGAAAATGAAAATTCCAGAACACTTAATTGTGGCTCATGCAGAACTAGTACATGGCTTGAGGCAGCTGTACAAACAGAACAAAGGAATACTGAGTGATTTAAAATCAGAAAAGGTGTGGATGAGGTTTATATATTCTCACTATACTTTTTCAATCTGTATGATTAGCAAATAATCAGAGAAGCTGTATTATATGGAAAAGAATGATGAAGAATGCAGCATCAACCATATGCAGATATCACAACCTTGCTTGCTGAACGTAAAAGAGGACTTGGAAAATTTGCTAATGAAATCAAGGATGGTAGCCTTCAGTATAGATTATACCTCAATGCAAAAAACAAAAATCCTTACAACTAGACCAATAAGTAACATTATGATAAATGGAAAAAGGATAGAAATTGTCAAGATTTTCTTTTTTGTTGGAAGCACAAGCAATTCTCATGGAGCAGTAGTCAAGATATCAAAGGATGCATAGCATTGGGTAAATCAGCTACAGAAGACCTCTTTGAAAGTATTGAAAAGTAACAATGTTACTTTGAGGACTAAGGAGGTACCTGACCCAAGCCATGGTATTTTCAATCATTGCATATGTATATCATAATTGGACACTGAATAAGGATGACCAAAGAAGGATCAATGCATTCCAATTATCGCGCTAGAGAGGAATATCGAAAGTACTACAGACTGGCCCCCCCCACCCCCGAAAAAACCCAAACAAGTCTTTCTTGGAAGAAGCACAGCCAGAATGCTTCTTAGAGGCGAGTTGGTGAAACTTCATCTCAAGTACTTTGGACATGCCAGGAGAGACCAGTCACTAGAGCAGGATTGGTAAAGTAGAAGGGCAGCAAAAATGAGGAAGGCTTGACAAGATAGGTTGACATGAGGGCTGCAACAATGGGTGTGGCAGTTACATAATCTCCTGTCAACTTGAGCAAAGGGGTAGAGTCTAGCCTGTCAACCAAGTCATAGCCAATGATGCTTCTTCTGTGTGGGCATGACCTCCTGAGGATTCTGGGAACTCCTGTCTTCCTCCCTGGAGGAAGGACACACACTCTCTGTGTCTTATATTCCTGATGACAAGCCGGATGGAACCATCCTCATGGGAACCAGAGCTTGGAGATGCTTCCACGAACACAGAATCTACCGGACTTTCCACCCGCAGGCCTGTGAGCTTCCTGCATTTGGCATCATACATGTGTTGTGTGAATCTAAAGAAGAATTTATGGACTGGTATCAGACATGGGCTAATATCAGACTTATGGACTTGATCTGGACTGGGCTGGGATGTTTTTTTAATATACAATTACTCTTTGATATAAAATCTCTCTTACACACGAGTATCTCTGGATTTGTTTCTCTAGTCAACCCGGTCTAACACCATGGGCTCAAACATAAGAACAATTGTGAGGATGGTGCACCTGCTGTACAAAGGGTCGCTGTGAGCAGGAACAGATCTGATGTCAACTAACAACAGAAACATCCCAACAAGCCATTTCATGTATTTCTTCGTCTTTTCACTCCTTTTCCTCTTAAGATCACGAGTACAAGAGAAGCTACACACAGAAGTCTCATCCAAACCGACAACTCCGTTTCAGAGAAATCCAGCATTACACAAGTTACTAATCTTGAGCCCATTGCTTGTTCTTCTGGCAGTCTTTAGGACACGAGCCCAATTCTTGTATAACTTATAAAGCATACTCATACATAGAATCCTCATCCTTTGAGGTAACCACTTTTATTTTTCTAAATCCATTATTTTGTTACTTGCTCTGGGTCTTTAAATAGCATATAAGTGATTCTAGTTCTTGTTTTTTCCATTTTAGGCATTAACTATTAAAGACTTGAAATTGATTCTCTAGAGAAAATGAAACAAAATTTCAAGACTCGGGGTCAATTTACCTAATGGAATATTCTAACAAACTATAATCTAAATGAATCAATATCGATGAATCTCAAAAACATTTTAAGTGACTAAAAACAAAGAACAGACTCATATGAACAATCTTATGTTACTTATGTAAATTTATTTAAATTATAAAATATTTTCTAGTGTTTTATATATACAGGATTGAGAGAAGTAAAGAGATTTCAACAGTAAAAGCAGAAAACTTTGAACAGAAGAATATGTGCCAAATTCATAACTACAGCTGTCTCTGGATAAGGAAGACATGATAGGAGAGGAGAAATAGAAGTATTTCAACTTTGTCCATAATGTTTTATTTTCCTTACTCAAAAAAATTAAGGCAATAAATAAGATAAAAACAATTAATTATAAATAGTAATTTTCTTACTTGAGCCAAAGATGACCTGACACTGAGCATCATAATATTGGCACATGCCATTGTAACAATAGGCTTTGTTATTCTGGCAAGGAAATCCATTCTGAATAAAAACATCTGGTTGACAGAACTGAGAAGAGCCATTGCAATACTCTGGAACATCACATTCATTGTTCTTCCCTCTGCATACAGTACCTCCTGGAAGGAACTAAGATAGCAAATTTCCAATTAAATAGAAATATCATTAACATTTCAATAAATTAATCCAACTTGAAAATAAAGCAAATATAACTTATACTAAAAAGTGCTCTGAAATCAGCAAAAGTTTAAATAATCCAATAGAAAAATGAATGGCCAATAAGCAATTCATAAAGGTCATGAAATATGATTTTTTTTAAA